TAAGTGTTCGTCAATGACCACACCCAGAAATGTAGTTGTTTTAGCTTGTTCAATATTTTCATTGTTTAACAAAATTGTTGTATCATCTTTGACGACCTAAAAACAATAAACTTTGTTTTTGAGATATTTATTGAAAGTTTATTGACATTTAGCCAATTTGAAATTTTGTCTAATTCTAATTGAATAGTTTCATTGAGCGTTTTAAAACACTTATGACTGTAAGAAATAGTGGCATCATCCGCAAATAATATAATCGAAATTAATTTACTACATTAATGTATAGTAAAAACAGGAGCAGTCCTAATATCGAACCCTGAGGGACTCCACTTTTTATTGTCATTTCTTCTGATTTGGTTTGATTGTATTTTACAATTTGTTTTCTGTTACTTAGGTAATTTTTTAACCACTTTTGACACGTTCCTCTTATTTCATAGTGCTCTAACTTGATAGATCAAGAAAAATACCAATTGTGTATTTCCCTTCATCTATCGCTGTAGTTATTTTGTCAACAAGCTCAATTAGTGCATCTTCTGTAGATCATTTTTTTTCTAAATCCATATTGATGTCTTGATAAGATTTTGTGAGTTTCAATGAATTCAATGAATCGTTTGTAAGTGAGTTTTTCTAATAATTTTGAGAGACAGCTAAGGACTGAAATTGGTCGGTAATTTCCAAATTTATTACTTTCATTTGCTTTGAAAATTGGTGTAACTAAAGAAATCTTTAATTTGTCAGGAATAATTCCTGTTATAAATGTTGAGTTGTATATATGTGTCAAAGGTTTAGAAATTTCTTTTGCACATAGTATGATTGTTTTAATAGAAATACCATCATAACCTGGGTATTTGTTTGGATTCATATTTCTGATCTCATTTTCTAGTTCAGTTTCTGTAATTGGATCGAAAAACATAGTATTTTTATTTTTATTTTTCATGTAGTTGTTGAAAGTAGCATTAGTTGTATTTTTAATTTTGCTTGCTACTTTTGGTCCAATGTTAATAAAATATTCATTAAAAGTATTAGCTATTTCATTTGGATCAATTATTTTTTTGGAAGAATCTTCCATAATGAACTCTCTTGGCAGTTCTTTAGTTTTTTGTTTCCTATTAAGAACATTGTTTAATTAAAGTTTTCCAAATCATTGCTGCCAAGCGAAGCGATGGCAGCCACCTATTCTTGACGACGTTTGCAGTTTTTACTCGTTCCAGATCCCCACGCGACCTATGTATTTTAGCCAAAGCAATCTCGATTTGTTTGTCGTTCGTTCATTCGATCATTCGGGTCGCATTTTCTGACGTCACAAGAATGGCGCTGTGTACATTTATATACGCAGGAAGTTTACGATGAGAATCCGATCACTTCCGGAAGCTGTGTTCGGTATGGTTCGGTGCACCGTAGCTTTATAGGAGCTATGACATTTAATTTTTACATGACCATATGGCATATCACATATTTTTCAATTGCACGAGTCACCATAATTATTTTACAACATTACTATTTGATTTTGGAGGAAAAGAGTTATATTTTTGAAGGTATGTTGATAAACATAGTTATTTGAACGTTTGAATACTTTTGTATATGTAAATGAACGTGATAGTCTGTTTTTAATACATTATAAAAGTTCGAAATTATTAAACATTTGCATTGTGAGTTGTGGAAATTCCAAATTCATCTATATATATAAATACCATCAACTCATATTATTAATATGAGTTGATGTTTAATTTTGTTATAGATCAATTAAAAGGTGATATGGGACCACATTTGTAATTTTTTATGTTGTTTGTCGTTTGCAAAGACTCCCAGACCCATGGTAGACTTTTAATTATTTGTATACAAAAAGATGGGCCTGCAGAATTTTTATTAAATATCTAGCAGAATTGTAATCTGTCAGTTCACACTTCACAGATAACATTATTTAATATATAAAAGACTAATAAAGTCAGTCATGTGAGTACGAGTGTGGCAGTATAGACTATTGAGGCTTGACACTATTATCCTGCCCATGTCACACCTTCCACATTACAGGCAGATTCCTCTGTGGTGTATATTTGTATAGTAATGTTTTACAAACTAAAGTAAACCATATTTTTTGTTTTTAGGTTATAATTTGGCACTACCTTACATCAGTGTTAAGATCCTTGGAGCCATTGTGTTCACGCTGATCAATATTTGGCAGATCAGACATTCAATTACAAGTGTGACTTGTACTATTCAATACCATTCAAACCAAGCGAAGTATTTGCTCGCTTACAAATATATTATTAGACGTGATTTGCGTCTAAAAATCAAACTTTTTACAAGGCGTGATTTGCGTCTGAACACTAACTTTATACAAGGCGTGGTTTGCATCTATACAACAAACTTGAATACTAACTTTATACAAGGCGTGGTTTGCGTCTATACAACAAACGTCATAGTTTTGCATCTATTGACACTGACAACAACCTTGTTGATACATATACAGTATTTAGAAAAAAACACAAGATAACAGAAAAATCTTGTCAACCATATTTAGACACAGCTAACAAGTGTTGGGAAACAATTGTTACAAGTTGAGAATATCTCTTAAATATAAATGGGAGAAACAATTGAGCAATACCGTGCCCGTATTGGAACACATAATAATATAAAAAGATGTCCAAGTCGACTTAAAGTTGACTTTTCTGACATAATGCTGGTGGTTTTTCAACTGCTTAAAACAAATCTTTTGTTATTGATATTAGTGCAGATACTCTATCTAAGTATTTTTTATGTAACAACAAATACAGAATGCACTAAACATTTATGTGAGATGGCAGTGTCATTCAATCAAATGTCATGCAACAATGTTTATGTCCCATTGTTATTGAGAATGGAAATGTTGATGTGGTAGACCCAACTCAAACAGTATGTGCTGATTTCAGCCAAGGTGATACAAGAAAATTTAGGCAAAATGCTGGTAAACAATGTTTAGCCATGTCCTTGACTGCAATAATACATAGTCATATATTAGATGTTAATACTTGGGATACATCATTGCTGAACCACATACTGTATACAGGAAATGATCTGTATACTTTCATAAGAAACTCTGTTAAAAATAGCTACTTATTGTTAACTGATGTTCCAGAGATGGTTTCAGTATTTGACAAAATTTATCACTTAGAATACAGTGACTCATTGGCTGGAGATCTATTTATAGAAAATACCAATTTACCTTATTACTCTTTGGAACATGCTCTTCGTGATTTGTTTTATGGTTCACAAATAAGTTATCAACATTGTATGTTGACAATAAACTGTAATACTATTGCAATTTTTAAAACTTCTGATGTGAATTTTAAAATTTTTGATTCTCATTCAAGGGATTCCTATGGTATACCACATCCATTTGGAAAATGTGTGTCAATTTCTGTTGAAGGTATAGATAACCTTATAATTTATTTACAACATACTGTTCCTAGAGGGGATGATGTACCATTTGAAATTAAAGGGGTAACTGTTGAGTTAGCAAATTGTGAGATTGGCAAAGAAACTGGTATTGCAATTTTAACAGGAAAAGTTGCAAATAAAAGACTGGAAACAGCTAGAAATTATAAAAAAATAAGCGGGCAGTAGAGACTAAAGCTGCAAGGGAGATCAGACTTGAATCTGATAGGAAATATCATGAATTAAAAAAAAGCAGAAGAAACTGACCTTGCGAGAAAAAGGAGACTTGAAAACAACAAAAATTGTCATAAATTTAAAAAAGCAGTAGAAATTGGAACTGAAAAAGAAATTAGACTTGAAAATGATAGAAATTGTCACAAATTTAAAAAAGCAGTAGAAACTGAAAGTGAAAAGAAAATTAGACTTGAAAATAATAAAAATTGTCATAAATTTAAAAAAGCAGTAGAAACTGGAACCGAAAAGGAAATTAGACTTGAAAATGATAGAAATTGTTATAAGTTTAGAAAAGCAGTAGAAACTGAAGTGAAAGACAGCTACGGTTGAAAAATGATCGGGAATATAGAAGAAAAAAACGAGCAAATGAAACTGCTGTAGAAAAACAAGCTAAGAAAAGAAAATTGTCAGATAAGTCTGAATTAAATATCTGTCCTCTATCTAGGCAAGGCAGTTCAATAATTGACAGCGAAATTCCAAGTCAAGAGAATTATTTGAAAGAGTTTGATTCAATCAAAAATGGAAGTATTCATGAACAAATGTGGGCAAAAGCTAATATTAAGAAATTTCATAAATCTGTTGAATTTTTCATAAGTAAATGTTCAATTTGTCATGAGGCATGGCCTCTTAAATCTAAACCAAGATCATGTACCAGTACTGGTTATATATGTTCACAATGTTGTAGGGATAAAAAATCTCCTAAAAAATTTTCATTTGAAAATTCAATGATTCCTTCTTCAGTTCCACAGCAGTTAAAAGATTTGACTCAAGTGGAGGAAATGTTGATTGCACGAGCTCTTCCAATCATGACAGTTTATATCAAACCTGGTGGACAACGAGGCTACTCAGGGCATTGCATCAACCTGCCACAAAATGTAAAAGAACTGGCAACATCATTGCCAAGATATCCAAAAGAATTATCTGTGATTAATGTCAAGGCTAAAGGTAAAAATGACACATTTAAAGATGTTACAGTAAGGAAACAAAAAGTACATGAAACGTTATTGTGGCTAATACAAAATAATCCATATTATTCTGACTTACAAGTTAATGAAGATGCATTAAACTTATTACCTGAGAATGGTGTACCACCAGACCTTATGACTGTTGAGACTGATGACGATATAATCTCAGATGATAACTGTTCTCCTGATGTAGGTCCTCCTACTGATAACCCAACAGAGGATATTGTGTATAATGACTCTACTGAAATGAGTAGTTTTCTACCTGTTGGTGAACAACAACAACAGGAGATAGAAGCTGTTAGAAATCAGCTTACTGAAAATGACCCAATGCAATGGCCCTCAGTTGAAAATGAGCCTTTAAACGAGTATCAGATATCACATCTAGCTACTATGGCTTTCCCAACATTATTTCCTGATGGAAAAGGTGACCCTACTAACTCGGGTATATTGAGGGATGTCCCTCTCCAAGAACGAGTAAAGCATCTTTTAAAATTTGCTGAGATGATTGATGGTAAATGGGTATACCGTTTTGCTAGCCATCCTAGATTTTCTTATTGGGCTTTTAACATGATTCAAAGAAAGCGAATTTTGCAGCAAAGTGGAATATTCCTTAAACAAAATCCAGGTGAAGCTCATCTCACAATTGATGAACTGCGAGAAATGGCTGCCAGTAACAATGCTAATGTATTTATGTCTAAAGTATCTAGATATGTCGGTAATATTGCTGGAACAAATGCTTACTGGAATAAAGTAAGAGAGGAACTCAAAGCTATCATAACTAGTGTTGGAGCACCAACATTATTTTTCACTTTTTCCTCTGCAGATATGCATTGGCCTGAATTACATGCTTTATTTAAAGCTGATGGTGACATTGCTGATTCTACTAGTGATGTAAGACGACAAAATGTAATTAACAACCCCCATATTGTAGATTGGTTTTTTACCCAAAGATTAGAAAGCTTTGTAAAACACTGGCTTTATAATACACTTGGTGCAAAATGGCACTGGTTTAGATATGAATACCAAGGTAGAGGTAGTATCCATTGTCATGGTACTGCTAAACTAAATAATGACCCAGGTTTATGTCAACTTACTCAGACTGCTCTGAAAGGGTTTCTAGCTCAGAAATTTAAGGATGAAAATGATTGTTCAGATACAACAGAACTAGATCAGGATATTGAAGCTGGTAAGAGAGCTGCTGACACAGCATGTCAGTATGTTGATTGGTTATTGTCGACTGTCAGTCCTAACCCACCAGATCAAGACATGTGGATTAGACCACAAGTCCACCCATGTCAGAAACGTCACAATGACATTTGTGAGCATGAAATACAATCTGATTATGAAGATCTTTTGAATATGGTTCAACGACATACTCGTTGTAGCACAAATTATTGTCTTAGGAAAAAATCCAATGAGAACGAGTTGAAATGCAGATTTCATTTCCCATTTGACCTCTGCCCTCAGACGAAATTAGAATTTGAACAAATTCACAGTAAAGGTGAAAAAGTACAATATAGAGCAAAGATTGTTACTAGAAGAAATGATTCAAGACTGAACAATCATCAGCAACTCCAGTTGCAGGGCTGGAGAGCTAATTGTGATATACAAGTAGTTATTGACCACTATGCTTGTGTTGAATATCTCACTAAATACGCTGCAAAGGGCGAACCAAGGTCACCTATCCTGAAACAAGCTTTTAATTCTATTGTCCAGAATGTTGGCAATAATACTGACCCTCACAGAGCCATCAAGAAGGTTGTTATGAAAACTCTTGGTGAAAGGGATTATGCAGCTCAAGAGACAATGCATCATTTGTTATCAATAAAACTTCATAGTTCATCATTTACAGTGATTCCAGTGAGTCTAAATGGTTCACGTAGAGTACGTGAAAATGCGTCAATTGAGGATGGTGATTCTTGCACTGATAATTCACTTCTTGATGTGTATGCTAACCGTCAACAATATGACAATTCACAAAGCATTATGGACATGAACTTTGTTCAGTTTGCTACAACCTACAAAGTTGTTAACGATAAGCTAACAAAACTACCAGAGAATGTTGTTCCAAGGATATTTCCTACTTACTCTCCCAATCCTAAAGGCCCCAATTTTGGGCTTTATTGTAAGTATCAACTCTTGAGGTACAAACCTTATAACACAACCCAAAACAATGCATGGGGTGACCAAGAACCAACCGATGAAATTTTAATTAACCATTGGCAAGAATTTTTGCAAACACCTTATGCACAAACTCATGTACCAGACTGGCTTGACAAACTTCAAACTGTTATTCAAAGTCAACAAGAGGCAGAAGATGAACCTTGTGAAGAACAAGGTAATACCCGAGAGGAATGGATGGTCTTATCCGATCTTCACACTCCATTTGAGAACTTGGAACAAACACCAGAATCAACACATGACTGGCACCAAGATAGAGCTCGATATTCTGAGCAACAGATTCAAGAAATGCCGACGTGGATAAAAACAAAAAAAGAAGATCATGTCATTCATGAACAGTATGAAGTTGTTGATATAAATAGTTTCAGTGAAATGCAAGAGCTTGCTTATAATATTGTTAACACACATATTAACAGTGCTTCATCTGACGAAGAACCATTATGCCTCATTGTCATTGGTGTAGCTGGAACTGGTAAAAGCTACCTTATTAATGCTATTCGTAATCTTTTGCAAGCTAAATGTGCAGTTACTGCTACTACTGGCAAGGCTGCTTTTAATATAAGAGGTATAACTATTCACTCATTGTTAAAACTGCCTATTGGATCACGAGGTAAAAACGATTTGACAGGGCTGAGTCTGTGCAGACTGCAAGAAAATTTAAATAGTGTTGAATATATTATCATTGATGAATACTCCATGCTTGGTCAAGTTACATTTGGCTGGGTAGATAAACGTTGCAAACAGGCAACAGGATGTTACAATAAGGTGCTTGGAGGAAAGTCCTTGATTTTATTTGGTGACCCAGGCCAGTTACCACCTGTGGCAGACAAGCCTCTTTATCATGCTAAACCATCAAGTGATGTTGGTGAACAAGGGTATCAAACATACAGAATGTTTGATAAAGCTGTTAAGCTTACTGTCAATCAGCGAGTACAAGGTATGAATTCTGAACAAGTCAGATTCAGAGATTTGTTGTTGCGACTCCGCAAAGGTGAGTCCACAGTAGATGACTGGAAATTACTACTGACTCGTCAACCTTCAGCAATCACAAATTTGAGTGAGTTTGAAGATGCTACCAGACTTTTCTATAGCAATGAGCAGGTTGCAAATTACAACCATGACCAACTGAGTAAACTTGAGCAACCAGTTGCTCATATCAATGCTCGCCATTCATCGGCAATTGCAAAGAAAATTGCTTCAGAAGATATGTCAGGATTAGAACCTGTGGTATTTTTAGCAAAAGGCGCTAAAGTGATGTTAACTATGAATTTATGGTCAAGTGTTGGTCTTTGCAATGGGGCCACTGGGACAGTCATTGATTTTATCTTTCAAAGCAACCATCGGCCACCAGACTTACCTGTTGGTGTTATAATTCAGTTTGATAACTACAGAGGTCCTTCATTTGATGCCACTCAACCATCTTGTGTCCCAATATGTCCAATCACTGTCTCGTCACAGTCAGGAAATGGTTTCCATGAGAGACAACAATTGCCTCTTAGACTTGCTTGGGCTCTAACTATTCACAAGAGTCAGGGACTCACCCTATCAAAAGCTTGGATAGATATTGGTAAGTCTGAGAGAACTGCTGGAGTGTCTTATGTTGCAATCAGTAGAGTGAAAACACTATCATCTTGTGTCATTGAACCAATGACTTACGAAAGATTGACAAGCTTAAAATCTTCAGCAAATTTGCAGTTCAGGCTTGAAGAGGAAAACAGGCTAGACCGTTTAGCACAAAGTACACACACTGCATTTAGCTCATCAAACCATTGTGGTTGAATAACTTCAAGAATCCCAGTGGCGGAACTTACTTAAGTATGTATGTGCTGTTATGTACATGTATCACTCAATGAAATGTATTACACATTTCTTACTGTAATATTATATAAGTTAAAGATAATCATTATAATTAAATTTGTTTTTATCTCCGTACATGTATGAAATTTGATGATTGGCAAGGTGAAGATTGGTAAGTATATTTTTCTGCAGTAAAATTATTTGTCTCATTCAAAGTCCCACTACACTCGTAGGCATAGGTTTAGGTCATTCTTTTGGTTGCTAACAAATATTTTTTTTTCTTTTTATAGGTTTATAATGAGGTTTTTAATACTTTGAAGGGAGACCGTACATGGATGTTTGGCACAAAGTCTAGTATTTGTAACAAACTGTTCGTTCCAAAAGAAATGGATTATTACTTTAAAGAAATGGATTGTTATTTTGCTATATTTGCTATGAACTCGAAGAATATTGATACACCAACTCCACCACTGAAATCTTTGGGACTACAACTATGCTATGATTACCTACTACAACAAATTTAGACTTTGGGAAATAATCTACAGTACCAGTGGTTTCTACTAACAATGGATTGGTTCACAATGTTATGTATGGATAGTGAAACTGGAATTTTCTTCAAGAACGTACTTATTTTGAATTACATGGAGGCATTATCTATCTCATGTGTGCCATTGGACAACGATAATATGTATACAGTTGCAGTATAAAATACGAAATCATGGATATGTGTACTGTACCTACCATTATACCTCGATCCAACCTTCAAGATACTGCATTCTGGGCAAAGACGTCAATTTCGATATGTCACAATATAAACAATTTATTTATTCAATTAGTGCCTTGTTGTTTGCTCCTGGCTTTTTGTTTACTTAATTATCTATATCATCAGATAAATGAATTTTCAATGACAATAGTTGTGCACAACTACACTAATTATAGTTATACTGTCTGTAAATTGTATAAAATGCGGTCTGAGACCTTGCCAATATATTCACATATTAATAAACATGTTAAGTGGTAGATGTTTTATTGATAAGTGTAATTATAAGAATTTTTAATTTTACAGAAATTCACTAATATTTGGGGTTTTTTTATTTGGAGAACGCCACCCCCCCCCACACACACACACTTTATGCATGCAAGGCAGCACTTCACTTGCGATAGTAACTTCTAGTAAATATTTATTCATTAATATTGATAAGCATGATCATAAATTGTGTACTATTCAATATTCATTATAAAATAAATGTACGTAAATCATGGAACTATTCGTCTATTCTGTTATTAAAATAATATACAGACCTATACAGGAGCATATAACAGACCTGCCAAGTCTCACGATTTAATCGTGAGACTCACGATTTTTTATGCTTTCTCACGATGTCACGATTAAGACCCCAAATCTCACGATTTTCGGAACTTATGAAATCATCGAAGAGCGCAACATCTAGTTACAATAAGGCATACTCTTCCAAGGAAACATCGCGCTTTATTAGTGTATTAATAATGCGCAATGTACACGCCAGAATTTTGTATGTGTGATGTTTGTTTGTGTTACAAAGTAAAAGGCGCGTCCTGCTGAATTTATTGTCCTGCTAATCTTAATATTACTTGTAGTTTCCTTGTTTTTGTACAGATATTGCGTTATATTTCCAAGGAACTCGTACTGACACTGAATGCTACTAAAGCCATAAAGAACACCTATTTTTAATAAGCCTTGCATTTACGGTTATATTAACAAAATATAAATGCATGCATTCATAAGATTGAATATCTATTGATTATTTTCTAGTGTTGTTAAAGTTAACCCCGGTCATATTAATGAGCAAACCCAAATTTTTCTTTAGATAGCAACTCACTATTTCTGCTATACTCAAGGGTAGGCAGGTCTGATATAAAACCATTAATTTTAAAACCATGCATTTTAAATAAATAACACAATTATAAATATTCTGTTATAAAACACTTTCAATAATCGTTAATAGTCGATACTTACTTGAATCACTTTCCTTTTCCTCAGGTATTTTCTCAACTCTACTTGAAGTCATTTCTAATTTCAATGTAGTGTGCCAGTGTTTCAATGTCACGTGTTTGGCTCTTTTCCCGCTTTGGGAGAATTTGGAAATCAGGCAGTTTCAGGCAAATACCGTAGCTTGCAACTGACGATGAACAGTCGCTCATAAAAACATTCCCTATTCCCCAAATTCCCGTGACAAAGTCAATGTTTTATGTATATTCCGCAATATTCTTCCGCAATAGGAATTTCCTTGCTAAAATACCGCAAAACTCTACCGCATGCGGAATTTTCAAAGTTGGCCTGCCGCAATAAACTACCGCAGTAGCACCTTTTCAAATTGACCTGCCGCGGAAGATCTCCGGCTAAAGTGACGAACTTTCCACTATTTATGGCCTGTGGTCACGCCTGCGCTATTCTTGAAGCTCAATGACTGCATTTCTTGCGTTTTCTCAGCAAATTCGTAAAAGAATTGCACTAACATTTCTGACAAGGCAATCCTTTAAATTGAAAGGGCACCTTTGGCCCCCTTGCCCATCCTGGTAAAGGGCAACGGAGGCGGCTGCCCCTCCTGCCCCCCCAGTTCTAGCCTGCGTAGACGCCCTCTCTTCTCCCGCCCGCACTAAACGCCTGCTAAGCAGGCTACCCCAGTTCCGGCGTCCCTGGCTGAATTTGTCCACAATAAACGCAAAACTCACAAATTTACAGTATGTTAGAGCTTCAGTAAAGCCTGTTTCATACATGGAATTTATTAATTTAATTCAGACCAATTTAATTAATCACGGACTTAGTGTTTGCAAGCTAATCCCCGCCCAATATGAATGTGTTTCTAAATTTGGAATATTGACAGTTGACAGTTGAAACGTTAAATGTTTGCTGTATTCAGAGGAGGTTGGACAGCAGGCCACAAAGCATTATGGGTATTGAGCGCCTAATTCCGCGCGTGACTTCATTGACTGTTGACTGTCGAGGAGTGAACATCTCTCTGACTAAACCAATATGGAAGCTTTCGAACGACAAGATTGTCAGGCTGCGATACTTTGTGAAAAGAAACAGCATGTTATTGCTGTATTGTTGCGATCATCATTATGACTTGTGTTTTACTATACCAAGTTTACCTTTTTTAAATATTTGCATGGGACATGCTGTCATTTTACCTTGATAAATAATGCGTCTGAGCGAAGGAATTGTGTTTATATTCTCAATAGAGAAGCTCTTCTTTCTAACTTGGATGACGTTAAATCTCCGTGTATCATCAACATAAAAACAAGCGCAATATTTAAGGTTAGTATACTACAATGCATTACAATTACTTTGTTATTTAGTCAAATTATTATCCGCTTTGTTGTTTTTTATAACCTTGTACTGTAATTTTATAAATACACCGTACAAAATTATGGCGTAATATTTGTGTTTAATGCCTCTAGTACTAGTTTGACCCTATTGTGTGTGTCTATATGTACTGTGTCACTGTGATACATATGTACATGCTTTGAGTGAAACAAATTGTTAAATAAATTTTTGCTGATGTATGATGCCTGTTTGTATCTAGTTTTGGATAGATTTTTACATATATGTGCATACAATAGTTAGACTAGATATTTTCCAATTTTCATCTGTAAAATATTGCCATATTTGTGTGTTGTTCTATAAATATTACTGTAAATAGTGACACACTTTTGCATTAGATTTCTAATTTTAGAAATGACAGTTTATGTACAACATAAAAATTTTCTTGTTATGATTTTGTAGAAAGAGATCTACTTGAGTGGTTGGCTGGTCTTGAACCTGGTCAGCATGGATATGGTAATGAGGTGATAGGGCAGAAAGTGGTGACCAGTTAAGTGATGAGCATGAAAGTGACGAGGACGAAATCACCCATGCTGTACCATTCAAGTGCATCGGTGCTGCTCATGAGAAAAATTACCAACATCATTTGGAACATGCATACCTTGCTCTTCATGGACAAGATAAACCAGTGAATGTAAGAATACAGCCAGAGCCATTGAATCCAATGGACCCAAGTGCAATTGCAATTGATGTAGACTATGGTACTGGATGGACACATATTGGTTGTATTGCTTCTCAACTATGCGAGTATTTGCACCCACTAATTGCCACAGTAGATATCTTAGGGGCCAATTACAACTTTCAACCCCGGGATTGAACTCAGCCCTGTTAACAGGGTTGAAATTTTTTGCGATTACATGGACGATTTCAACCCCGTGGTTGAAACGCTATACTGTACGTTCTCGGCATCGATTCTCGGAAGTAAAAAAGCCTTTATTTTGTTTTCTTGTAATAAATAGTGACTACCACGTATGCTCGAATAACTCATGATAATTTCAGCCCTGGTTTGAAACGATTACATGACAAAATTTTCAACCCATCAGATTGCACTATCGACTAACTGACGTATAAATCGCCATCAGATTGCACTATCGACTAACTGACGTATAGTTATTGCTGCCTCGTAGAGGCAGCACACTATTCTTGACTACGCGGTGTTTCTCCAGAGTCCACTCGACCCAGTCTTTCGCGCGATCTATGTGTTGTCGAGATCTCGATCTTGTGTCTGTCTGTCTGTCTGTATGTAAAGATGTCGTAATCCGGGGGGAATAATTAAGCCTCGAGAACGTTTGTTAAATGAGGGGAGCGGTCAGAAACAAGATTTTGTATTGCGCACGCAACTCCATGTGCTCAAGAATCAAGATTTTACAATTGGTTTCATACAGGCTTTTTATACGGATGCAAGTTATCGAAAATTTTCGGAAAAATTCAGGTAAGTATGGCTCTATTTCTTTCTTCTGAAATACATCAAGGCGATGACCTTTTTAGTGTTCAATCTAGAGGCAAACAATGTGCTTTTATGAGTTTATCTGCAATTTTAACTGCCCAAAGTATCCCAGTGATCGATTGGTCGAAAACAACATTGAATAATGTCTTATTACAAGGAGACAAAATGTATTTGCAAGCTGTGGATAATGGCTTTGTTGTCTTAGAACCTGGTGTCGAATTCCTATCTGTAGATAACTTACCTAAAATTGTCAGTGTTTCAAGTTGTACGAACATGTTTTCTTACGAGATATGCGATTCTGTCATCGACACAAGTAATATATCATCTGTAGTGCATGCGAAAACAACTACAACACCTATGAATCCCTTTGATACACAAATTAACGTTGAACTACCCATGGTGGTAGGACAAAACAGTAAAAGTGTAACCACATGGTGGTACAACAAAATCATAACAGTCCACCTATGATGGTAGGACAAAACAGTAACAGTCTACCCGTGGTGGTAAGACAAAATAATAACAGTCCACCTGTGATGGTAGGACAAAACAGTAACAGTCTACCCGTGGTGGTAAGACAAAATAATAACAGTCCACCTGTGATGGTAGGACAAAACAGTAACAGTCTACCCGTGGTGGTAAGACAAAATAATAACAGTCCACCTGTGATGGTAGGACAAAACAGTAACAGTCTACCCGTGGTGGTAAGACAAAAT